GTGGGTGGGTGGGAGCGGGTAAAAGAAATTCCCCCTTGGCCGTCCAGTCCGTGACTCCGGGCATTTCGTCGCTCGACGCGAACGCTCCAGGCTGTCCCGGACCCAAAGAGGTTTGCTCGCCCTGTACTTGGGGCTCTGATTGTCGCCGGGACAGAGCGCTGCGGCCGTTTTGTCGATTTGCTGCCGAGGCTGCCCAAACTCTTGGGAGCAATTGGAAGTTTTTGTTGAGTGATAAGCCCGGTGGGCAAGCAAAACTTTCCACGTGTCTAAAAGATCTGAGAGCTGTATGGAACTTCTTTCCTTGGGTTTATTTGGGCAAGCCTAAAATAAATTCTTTCTCTACCCTCATGCACGTGCCTGCTGGACGGATCGTGGTCAGCTCGTCCGTGCTGAAGGTTGCTGCTTGAAGCGTTGATATCTTTCTTGTGCTCAGGGGATAGCCACCTGCCTAACGGCTTGGATCCGGTGGCTGAGACGGCGATCAGGCAGCTAACCGAGACGAATAACAAGCCTGCCAAGAAGACTCCAACAAAGCGTAGCACGCTGATCATCTCGGGAGTTTCCAAGGTCTCTGGCAGTTAGGGGTTTCCATTTCCAATCTGGGAGGGTGTTTCTAGGGATGTGTGTGTCAAACCGTGCTGTCCTGCGAGGACCGATGCGGGACGCCTCCGGCACAGATGAACTCGCTCGGCACAACCCTTCTGCCACTTCACAGCGACCATCAAAGGTACCTTGTTGGTCTGCAGGGCAGCTGTCTGTGGGAGTTCATGCGGGACAGCTGCAGAAAGCGAGGCTGCGGCCGTAGCCGGTCAGGCGTGTTGTGGAGAATCTAGGAAGTTCTCCTTGAATACGCCTACGGGAGCGAGGGAGGTACTGCGGAACGCTTTGGCGTCGGCCATGTTCCGGTACGTTTCAGCAAAAGAGTGACTTTTTTGCATCGACGCTGTCTAGCAGTGGCAGTCGCAACTGGAGCGTCTGTACGTAGGTGTGGATGGAAGAAGAGAGATGAATGTGATCTTTTAGACTCTCTCTTCCTGATCTTCTAATCCCCCCTACAGGTGCCTATCGCTCAAGATGAAATGGCGCTTTCCCTGGGTTACGCCGCATCCCTGGAGGCCACGGCGTACGGGGATTCCGCGGCAGAGGGCGCAACTGACCGGATGTGCGATTCTGCCCAGTCGTCGCAGCTGCCAGAGGCGTCGCCGTCAGGACAGAGGGCCAGTCAGGAGCTGGACGACGCAACGCGATCGGACATCTCTGAGAGACCGTCGGTGGAAGACGTTGAGTCTGAAACTGGCTCCACGGGAGCCTTGGAGACCAGGAGCTTGAAAGATCACAAAGGTAAGGAGGGACCTTTAGACGGTAGCTAACGTTAGCCCGTTGTACTCGAGAACAGTGCTGTCCGAGTTGCTCACCAAAGCACGGGAGCTACAGCTGGCGTTTGGCGTGGTGAAGAGAGGCTTCTGCCGGAGTCTGGAAGAGCCCATGTTTGCCGGGCTTCCCGCTGGAGCAGTTCCAAACTCCTCTATTTGCAGGTGTCTGACTCCTGTGGCCTTTTCGGTTTCTACACTTTCTTAGATGGGAACCTTACGCGACTCGCGTGTTCCCGACAACCCGTTTCCTCTCCCTCGCCTCTAGGTCTGCAGACGAGGCACGTGTCCGTAGATAAAAATTCCTCCTCGGAATTTGGTCGCCTCTGGCGCAGAACCCGAGGTTGCCCAACAGCGTAGATCGTACGGGTCTCGATGCTCTCCTTTCTCTGTTTGTGTCAAAGCAGCTAGTGACTTTGATCGGTTGTGCCTTAGGACATCCACAGAAACTCTTTGCTTTTAAATGATAGAGCGGGCCTGCCCTGACCGAGCTGCTGGTCTGGACTTTCCAGACCCACATCAGTTAGGACGATAGCGTACTTTGAATGCGTTTGCTTGTGGCCACCGCTGTTTCACTTAGTTACGAACTCGGGTAAACAATCACGAGGCAAGATCCTGTGCGCTCGGAGTATGAGAGCAGGACAAGTCTCGGGGGTCGTAACCCTGGTTAAACCAGGTACGGGTTGAACTGTGGTGGCCCGTTGTTTGTGTGTCAGCGGGTAGAAAGGAGCATGGCCCAGATTCTCGAGAGACCAGTCGGGCAGGGAAGAGAAGGGAAAAGAAAGAAATCGCTCTCCGTAGGAAACGCTGTTTTCACTTTGTAAGGTGTCCAGGTTTCGGATACGCCTTTTTGTACTTGTTTAGGGCCTCATCCCATCCCATCCCACCGGTGTGAGTCGTCCGGAGCCATTGCTAGCGGTTGCCTAGCGATTTGGGCATCTTGTGAAACCACGCACGGTTGTTCTGGGAGCTGGATGACCGGCCTTTTTCCCTGCAGTGTGTTCCTCCCGGTGTCTCTACGTGCAGATGTACTTACGTACGAGTCTTAGCTTTCTATTGCAATTTTGCACACTCCTGCTGCAGGGAGGACGCTGTTGGGTAAACAGAAGCTTACGCAGAGGCGATTCGTGACGTTGTGCTTAGCAAAACGGCTAGTCGGTGTCACGCTCCGTCCCTAACGCAGACTTTGCCTCACGCTCGGGAGCTGTGGTTTTGTGGCCTGCCCCCCTTTTTTTTGCGGCCCTGCCCCGTTCTTCCGCCCCTCGGGCCGGAAGAGGCCTTTGCCGCTTGTCAGAGCGGCTGGGCACGTTATAGTCCCTGAGAGTTGCCAGGGCAGCGTACTATCGTGGTTTCTGTCTCCTTCCTTTCTGTGTTTGCAGTTAGCTTTCTTCGGAGTGGTACCAAGCTCATTTTCCGGCGAAGAAGCAAGCAGAAGGAAGTGGGCCTGAGCCAGTCCCACGATGACTTGTCCAACGTCACTGCCAACTCAGCTGCCAGGAAAAAAGCCGGCAGCTTCTCCCGACGCCTCATCAAACGCTTCTCCTTCAAGTCTAAATCCAAACCCAAGGCTAGCGACGGCATGACAGCAGGTGAAAACTGAGAACCGAGAAGCCTGTTGGAAAGATTCCGCAGAGATCCTTTTCCAGTCTCTTGTCTTCCCACTCCACGGTATGTGTGACCTGCAGTCCGGTTCCTTCCGACCTCGGCTGAGGGAAGACGCCTCAGCACTTTGTGCCGTCTGGGGAGCGGAGGTGGTGAACCTGGGGCTTAGGCCTCTTGTCTGTGTTGGCTTAGCCTTCTCTGACTGTTGTACCCTGTTGTGCTCTCCCAGAAAATCCAAGTGGCGTGCCAATCCCCGCAGGGGTCCCAGGAGCCCCGGAAGCGACTCTGCCCGCATAGCTGTCCCGCGTTGCCGGGGAATTTTAAGCAGGGCGGTGGGGGAGCGGCTCTCAAGTCGCAGCCCTCAGACTTAAAGATCAAGGAACTACCGAGTTAGCTACATTGTCAAGAAGCGTGGGATGTAGCCTCGATCGGCTTTTCCAACGCGAGCGAGCGTCACAGTTGCCGGCTGTCTAAACCCTCTTGTTGCTTCTGCTCGGTGCTGAGGCCGTAACCCGAGCGAGGCGTGGCACAGCGCGACGTGTTTCTGGGCAGTGAGCCGTCAGAAGAATGGGGCTGTGCGTTCTCCACCCGGCTCTGCCATTGGAACGGTCTCCG